GATCCGGAAATGTGAGACCACTCCTCCCTGAAGAACTGTGGGAAATGCAAGGTGGGGAAGCTGCTGTGTGGAACGAAACGCCTCCGTCAGGTCGTTCCGACCTTGTGCAAGCCATGGTACGGGAACCTGGTTGGCAAGCAGCTTTCCGCTTGCTCCAAGCGACGCACCGCTGGGAGGGATCACGAGCAGGGGTCTATGACCCTGATGAGATGCAAGCACATGAGCAGCTTGAAGTGTGGCTGAGAGCTTGGGGTAGAAACCCCAAGAGACCATCGAATGAGTTGGCACTGGTCTCCTGGAAAATCAAAGAACCTATGTGCCCCCCCACTCATGCTGGTTCCTCCTGGAAAGCCGGTGCCCCCAAAAAGGGAAAAGCTAAAAAACCCTACCTGACTCCCACTCACGAGCTGGTTGCTCCAGCCAAAAACCGACAAGAAGAAGCGGAGCATCCCCCCCAAAGGGAACTGTGGGCCCCCAAGGCTTAAAGGCATCGAGGCCCTGGACCACATTGGCATGGAAGCAGTGCTAGCTAAACTAGCTGACTCCACTAGGAGAGTCTATGCTTCTGGATGGAAGCAATGGGTCCTTTTTAATAGTGGGGCTAAGTCACCGTTGTTCCTCACAGGAGAGGAGCGTTCCGCTCGGTATGAAGATGAACAGAGGCTAATCAGGTTCGTGGTTTTCCTCCACCAAATCATGGGACGCTCCATAGGGGGCATCAGACAAAGGCTGTCCGCTTTCCGTTATGCCCACATTACTGCCGGCTACCCTGACCCACTCTCAGGGAAACCACGGCTGTGGTCCGCCGTAGCGGGACTGCAGAGGTGGGAAGGGGCCCCAGCCAGAAAGCTCCCAGTCACCCCAACCATGCTCAGGTGGCTGAACCAGCACATCCAACGAATGGGTCTAACCGTACCGGACCAAGCCATGGTTAAAGGGGCCCTGTTGACTGGGTGGTTCTTCATGCTGAGAGCCAGTGAACTCTTGCCGCGTGGCGATGGATCAGACCCGCTAGATCGGGCGATCCGCCCAGCCGATGTTGCCTTCTATAAGGGGGGTCAAGCCTGTTTGGGGACAGTAGCAGATGAAGTGGTGATCCAAGTCAGGTCCTCCAAGACGGACCAGTTCGGTCGTGGGCAAGCTCGTTCACACCACCGATCCGGTGGAGATCTGTGTCCGGTCGAGGCCTTGGCTACACTGCAAGCACTACAACCTCATCGTTGGAGAGGTGCGGAGCTTGAAAAGCCGCTGTTTCGGTACGCGGACCGATCCGGTCTCGACCGAGAGGGGATAGCCCACCTAATTAAGGTGGCAGCACTGGCTGCGGGATACCCAGGGGAACTTGCAGGGTCTCATTCACTCCGCAAAGGGGGGGCCACAGCTTTCTTCGCATCTACTGGGGACCTTGAGAGGTTGAAGAGATACGGGGGCTGGACCTCTGATGCCGTTCATGCATATTTATATGAGGACCACACAGCCCAGATAGGCATCTCCCAAGGCATGATAGGCAGCAACGTCATCACCTTGCCTAGTCAGAAGGCTCAGGCTGCCGATCGTCCACCCGTTGGAAACCACCAAGATCGGTCTGATCTCGATCGTGGGACTCTAGGCTCGAGATCTTTGTCTTGGGCCCCAGACCGACGAGTGTCCTTCTGCGAACGTGCTGGAAGCTGCATCATGGAAGCGGCCCCAGTTAGCAAGCTGGAGGAATCACACCTCTTTTTCAGACACAACCCGGATCTAGACCTGCATCGACTCCTCGGAGTCAGGCGAGGGGCCAGTACGCCCGAAGTGCTCAAGGCGTTCCGAATGAAGGCAAGAACGTACCATCCAGACAAGCTCAGCCACTTGCCGATAGGAGAGCAGGAAGAGAAATCCGAAGAGTTCAAGAGGATGTCAACCGCTAGGGATATCCTTAGTGACCCACTGATGGCCGAGCAGTTCCGTCAGTGGCAAGCGGAGAGGGCGGCAGAACTCGCCAGAGCCAGGGCGAGGGCAGCAGCAGTAGCCCGGGCAACACCAGCAAGGCCAGGGGCAACCAGAGCCTATAACCCCCGGAATAACGAGGATGAAGGGCAGGCTCGGGGATGCTATGCACAACAGGCTAGGAGGGAGCCTTCCTCGTCTTTTCGGGAAGCTCGAGACTTCTTTGAATCGAGATCCACTACTCCACCACCGGGTCCGCAGGCAGAGCACCAACCGACCCAGCCCAAGCCAGCATCCAGGTTCCCACCATCCTACAGTGCCCCGAGACCGCATGCCCCTACGGCTGATCCAGCCGGCCCAGCTGCCACAGGATGGGGACCACAGCAGCAAACGGCTACAGCTGGTCCAGCTAGTTCAACCGCACAAGGACCAACGCCAAAGCCGACCTCGAGGTTCCCCCCAGCAGAGAACATGCCAGAACCTCCGCCTATGTCAGAGGTTCCGCGCCCATCGTCCAACTACCACCAATGGGCGCCGCCAAAACCCCCAGGCTACATGCCACCTCCAAGGGATGAGAGATTGCCCAGGGCGAAGACGCCACCCAAAGCTGGTCTGAGAAAACCACCACCTCCTCCGCCCAGCGACTTCCTACCGCCGAAGCAGGAGGGAGGAGGAGCAGCGGGTCTGAGGAAGCCACCACCTCCTCCGCCCAAGGACTTCATCCCACCAAAACAGGAGGAGAGAGGGACCGCAATCGGTCGGAAGGCGCCGCCACCAAGCTTTGTTCCGCCAAAGGCAAAGGGGTCAACACCCCCAGGCGAGCCAAGAACACCGGAGGAAAGTGTAGGAGGAACTCCCAGGCATTTCGAGCGGTCCGCTCAAGCATACCAAACCAAAGGAATGCGGGAGGACCTACGGGCCCCCAATGCCGAAGAAGGAGAAGAGCCTTTCCGACCCTCGGGGCTGTTTGAGAGAAATCCCCAAACTTACCAGGGAGAAGGAACTCAGAACAAGCAAGATATCCGGCCCAAGGCGGCCCCCATGGAGGTGGACCAAGGAGCCCGGAAAGGGGCCAGCCCAGCTGCGCTGTGGTTGGGAACACCAGAGCCCGGTGACCATGAGGACAGGGTGGAAGACCCTTCACAGGACTATGTGCTGGTCAACGTAGACCCAGACTCCGAAGATGACTGGCATGATGTGGTCGATCCGACCAGTTGTGATTGGCCAGAGGTCAGCCAGAACTGGGATGAGGAGAACACCACGGATGGTCTCCAAGGGGATCGAAAGGAAGCAAATGATGCCTTCAACCAGAAAGCACTGGATGCAGTGAAGAGCTTCCTTTTCCACTACAACAACCAAAAGCTGAGGCAGCAGAGGAAGACCCTAGCACCCATCCCAGAAGTCGAGACTCCGTTGCCGACAGCAGTCAGGGAAGACTGCTTGGGCGGTGGATCCCCAAGGATCAACCTTGCCGAGATGGTCTTCCCGCCCGCCTGGGAAGCTATGACGTCCAGGGGAAAAGATCCGAGGAGCTACGCAAGGCCCAAAAGAGCTGTCAGCAAAGACACTAGGGATGAAGATGCCCCCATGGCAGAGCCGCCTGCAAGAAAGCCCCGCCAAGGCGCCAAAGGTCGAGGAGACGAGGGATCAAGCCATGACGGGGGGGACCCCACCACCGACTGGCCCAGCCAGATCAAGCCCGACCGCTCCGGTCGAGACACCTTTCTTCTCCTCAGAAGAAGTTGACTGGGGAGATCAGGAGGACGATCGAACTCCAGAGGAGTTTCAACAGGAGATGGATCTCCTGAAAGAGATTGGTGATCGCATGGAAGCATACCTGAGGGCGCCTGCAGAGGTCAAAGCAAAGATGAGGGTTTCATCCTGGCAACGATGTACCGAGTACCTGAAGTCCCTGCAGCTGCGAGCGGACGAGGCTCCTCCGCCCACCAAGCCAGGCAAGTTCGCAGCCGACATCCGGATGGGTTTCTCGCCGGAAGAGGCGAGGATCCGACAGAAGTCGCGGCAAAGGGCGGCCAGGCATCACCAACAGCTCGCACGAATGGAGGGTTGCACACCAGCTGATATGCCGAGGTCTTGGGATCATCCAAGACCCCCCACTTTGGAACTCGGCTATCTTGCGAGAAAGGAGGCCGAGAGGGCGCAGAGAAGAGCCCAGCGCACCGCTGACTTGAGGACCAACCCCCAAGATAGTGCAGCGGCTGCTCCAGCCGATGATCCAAGCCACCCTCAGAACCAAGATGAATGGCGATGGAATCGGCAGAGCTACGACAGCCACCAGCAATGGCAGGGATCGAGCTGGGCTGAGGAGCAGTGGAGAAACTGGCGATCCGCCGGATACGGCCAAGAGTGGAACCAGCAGTGGCACCAACAGAACTGGCAGCCAGGCTGGAAAACTGGAGGCTGGCAGCAGTGGCGGTAAAGCCCTGAGTGAGCGGTTGCCGGAAGCTCCTTCCGGAATTCATTTGAAGTGACCTCAAGACCAGAACAGAGTCCTGGGGTCGCAACATGCAACTCCCAAGGGGGGAATGACGGGCGAAGCCCTGTCAGACCTCTGGGCTGTGGTACTGACTCAAGTGCAACACAGCCACGACAAAAGGAGTCGCATTGCATGCGCTTCGCATTTTGTTTAGCAGCTTGAGTTTAGCTAACCTACTAGTAACAAGAAGCTACTAGGAACAAGTGCATCGCTACTAGTA